GTGAGAGCAGACTTGGGGCAAGCCCCAGCATTGCAGGCAGTCTGACCAGAAGTGGCCGCAATGGTGAGAGGACTGGGAGAGCGCCTCCAGCGACGCGTCTTCCGACGCGGAGGGGCTCTCGGAGAGCCCCGCTGGCGCTTCGGGCGCCGGGCACGGCTTCGCTGCGCTCCGAGCTGCAACGGGTGCGTTTTTGCAAACCTCTTCCGATTCTGGGGGCGAGTGCCCCTTGAACCACCTCGACTGGGCGCTGCGCCTCCCAAGATGCACTGGGTTGTTGAAGACACCCGAGGCGCACCCTAGTGCAGTCGTTGATTTCAGATCCTGCCACCTGGCACATTGGCAGCATCGCCAGCGCGTGACGGCCCTAGCGCGGCAGGCTCAATACGCGAGTCTCCCCGCCCACGCGCGGTCCATCCTGGGGCCAGAAAAGAATATGGCGCTGCTCGCCGAGATGGGTGGAGGCGGCCGGCTCGTCAGACTTGGCATTGGCTACAGATCTGGCGCGCGATTTCCCTCTGGGCGGGGCGATGCCGCGCAGCGGCGCCATGCGCCCATGCACTCTGGGGCCCAGGGAGTCCCCGGGGCGGCTCCTCGCGGTCGCGCCGGAACAGAACGAACGCATCCTCGGGAGAGTCAAGGCAGCAGGGCATTCGGACGCTAACTTGGCCGAGGCCCTGCGCGACCGCACGCGCGCCGAATTGGAGGCTGGCCAGGCCTGCCGGCGCCCGCTGCCGCCGGGCCTCGCCGGCGTCGCGCTGTCGCCGCGATTCGGCGCCGACGAAGGTTGGCGCGTCGCGGGCAGCTGGTGGTCCCGGAAGGCACGGACCATCGACGACCTCACAGCTTCGGGTCAACGCCACGGCCGCGGCGCACGAGAGCATCGAGCATGAAGCGCTCGACAATTTGGCTGCCATTGTCCAATCCCTGGCCGCTGGCGGAGCCAGCGTGGAGCACGTGCGCTTCCAGAAGGGCGATGCGCGCGGCGCATGTAAGACTCCCGGTGCACCAGGACAACATGCCGTTCGCAGCCGCCGTAAAGGCGGACTCGGTGGAGCGGGGCTCTTTCCTGAGCTGCTTTGCTGCCCGTTTGGGGCCAGAGCGAGCGTCCACGCGCGGCAGCGCGTAGGTTTGGCCTTCCAGTGTATTATGTTGAACCTGTTCAGCATGGCGCACCCGCATTCCGTGGGCGATTTTTTCGGGGCGGATGCGGACAGCGCGCTGCCCGGAGATAGCGCGGTCTCCAGTGCTTCCTTGGCGCGCCTGGTCATCCAGGAGCTGCCCGGGCGGCGGCTTGACCCTCAAAAGTCGGTCACGGCTGCTCGCAGCTTTGTAGCGCTCGGCGCGCGCGCGTCTCTAGACTCAGCGGCACGGCCGCTGCACTTTGTCGCCCCCGCCGAGGAATGCTCCAAGTGGAAGGCAGAGATTTCTGGCACTCTCGAGAGCCAGAGGCCCCCGCCAGCAGGCGCGCAGAAATTGGCGGGGCGGCTGAGCTGGGGAGCCGTGGAGGCATTCGGGAAAGGTGCCCGCGTGTACCTGGCGCCACTCTTCCGGCACGCTTGCGGCAGCAGCAGTCTGATGCCAGCGCGCCTGGTCAGAGCGCTCGAGCATTGGCAGCGTTTCTTGGCAACGCATCCCCGGAAGAGCATACCACGGGAGCCGCCCGCCAAACCGCGTTTGGTGGTTTACACGGACGCAACAGGCACAGGCACGTTGGTTTGGGTCGCGGCGCTTGCAGGTCAGCGCATGCTTTCGTTTGCGCTCGCGCCCCGCTGGCTCACCCAGTGGGCGTGCTTCCGTAGGCAGCAGATTGCCGCGTGGGAGCCGGTCGCCGCCGCTCGTGCTTCGCGGCATGTCTTTGAATCTGCCGCGGGTGCTGGCGGCCTCGACATCGCGCTGTTCATTGATTCGTCGGTGGCGCTGGGCACGCTGCTTCGCGGCTGCTCGCAGCGGCTGACCGAGGCGTGAGAGTTCGAGCGCGCGTAGAACGCAAGGTTTCAGGGAGCAGGTGCCTGGCAAGGGGGAAGGGCACCCTCACTCTGCCCGGCGGCCCAGTGGCCGCACAGGGGCCGAGAGCCATGTGGAGGCGAGGCGCAGGAGTGGCGCGGCGCCAGTCCAGCGCAGGAGAGCCGCTGGCAGGCGGAGGCGGCGAAGCCCCTGCCACATGATGGCGCTGCTGCCCATGCTCATCGGGGCTGTGGCAGCCGCCGAGATCGGCCGCAGGTGGCGGGCGCAGCCGGCGACGCTGGCCTTGCCCCCCGCGGCCCGAGTCGCGGACAGGGCGCTGCCCGCGGAGGCCGAGCTGGCCAACGGAGGGGCGAACGCGCCTCTGCTGCGGGCGCTGAAGAGGACCAGCGGCGCCGCGGCGCGGCGGCGGCCACTGACGGGTCGCAGCGCCAGGCAGCCTCCCCGACAGGGCCAGTGCCCGCCGCCGAAAAGGGGCGAGGCCCACCCCCTGGACCGGCGGCGAACCCGCCCGCGGGAGGAAAAGGGCGCCAGCCCTCCCCAGCGGCGACCGCCAGCGTGCCCCCACCCCCACCCAGAGGGGCGAGCTGCGCCACCGGGCGACAGCGGAGAGAGCAGCCCACGTCGACGTCGAGCTGATCTGTGGAGCTGGCCGTCGAGCCGGCGCCGGGAGCCCCCAGCACGGCGGAGCCGGCCGGCGGCGGAGCGCGCCGACGATCAGGAGGCTGGGGCCGAGCCAGAGGAGGAGGAGGAGATGCGGGGCTGGTTCAGCTTCGGGGGAGTCAAATTCGGAGTGAGCTGGCTCGGGGGCTGGATCACCGACTTGCCGCCGTCGGAGATACAGTGGTCGGATTTGATGTGGGGCGGGGGCGGGTTAGTCGGGAGCGGGCTCAGTACAGTGGGCTACGCGGCCTTCGGCACCGGCTGGCACTTGATGTGCTGGACCACGCTCGCAGGGTTGATCGTGGCGCTCGTCATTGGCTTAGGGTACGGTCTCCACTCCATCGCGTCGGCAGTCGACGTGCTGGTCTGCTCCCCGCTCCGTTGCTTGGGGCGGGCGCTGGGATTGTGCTGTCCGACTGCAAAGCCCCAGGTGGCGGCCACCGAGGAAGGAGTGGCTGCGAGGACCAGCTACCGCCATCGCCGTGGAGAACGAGTTCTACGCCCAGCTCCGTGCGAAGGGGCCCGACAAAGTGCCACATCATCTGATCATCAAGGTGGGCGATACGGCTGCGAGGCTGGAGAGGCCGCCCTTGAATACTGGGATCAAGTACAAGAAGGCAGGAGTGGCATGGCCGTACCGCGAGGTGCTCGCGACCACGTCACGGCGACTGCGTGACCTACTGGAGGACTCCCAGGACAAGGTGGTGCACCTGTGCAGGGACACGCCGTGCACGGACGACGGCAACTACGCCGTGCATGCCCCCGCGTACGGGTACGTGATTGCGGAGACGGACACCAACTTGGAGGCGCTGGTGGAGGCGGCGCCGAAGCCTTGCTGGGCCGAGCGAGCAGTGGGAGCCGCTGCTGCATCGTGCGGCCGGGGCTGTGCGGCCGCGGGGTTGAAGGGGTGTGCCAAGCTCTGCGGGCCCCTCAAGCGCTGCAAGAGGGGCTGCCAGCGCGGCAGGCGTAGCAAGACTGACACCCCAGCTGCGCTGCTGAAGGACCCGAACTCAGAGACAGAGTCGGAGCCGGAGCACCAGCGCTGCATGGCCCACGAGGTGCTGTACCAGGAGGGAGACATGATATTCCAGCTGCGCAAGGAGAAGTGTCGAGATCGAGCCCGAGGTGCCCCTGTTCGATTGGTCACGGAGGATGGCGAGAAGTCGAACGTCCAGGGGGCCGAGAAGGAGGTCAACTTGTGCTGGCAGCACACGAACGCCTACGAGCGCGAGAGAGGAGTGAAGAAATGCGCGCATCTCGGCTGCCACGCGTTGGGTCGGGTTATGAGCCGCGGGGTGCTGACGTGTGTGGAGCACGACCTGGCGACAGAGAAGCCCGCTCGTCTCGCCGCTGCTGCCGAGGGACCGACGCCCGTGGTGGCGGGGATTGCGTCCGAGCAGCCCCATCGGTACAGGTCGAGATCGCCTACACTGTCAGCTGGGCGGGCCATCATACCCTTGGCATCGGCAAGCGGAGCATGGCTAACGGCCATGGTGCGGGGCCCCCGGGGCACAGAGACGGCCAAGAAGTACTACTGCTACGGGCGCCAGCTGATGGCCGAGGAGGATGGTTGGACTACGTATCGCATCCCAGGCCTCGACGCCCAGGCCACCGCCCCGTCCAACCTGGGGCCGGTCATTGACGACCGTGTGTGTGCCGAGGCTGTAGCCGCAGGAGCGCCGGCCATCATCGTGCGGACGGTGAACCAGATACCCGACGGGATGGACGAGATCGGCAGGACAGCAAGCCCGGCGGCGCTGGCGCTGGCGCGCGGCGCGACGGGGAGGGAGGACCACCCCTTGCGCATCCTGACGCGAGGGGTCGAGGAGGCAGGAGGAGGGCGACATGACATACACACTCGGAGGCTGCCGCCCCCGAGCCCCCCGACGTACCCGACGCAGCCGCCGCGGAGAGACACGCTAACCCGAGGAGAGTTGGGAGGCCTCCTGAACGGGGCGGCTCGGGAGCGCTGGCGACGCCGAGGCGAGGCGGCCTTGGCATTGGAGTTCCTGAAGACACGGGCGAGCGGAGAGGATCACCCGTTGGACGTGGCCGAGAAGTACCAGCACACCGAAGGTTTCGACGATCTGGGAGACGCGTGCGACGCGATCGTCGAGTCACTCGAAGCCTTGGAGAGGGACCGCGGCTCCTTCATGTCGGACGACGAGGTGGAGAACCCCAGGCAGCTGGCAGAGGTGCTGAGGGAGAGGCGCGGCCTGAGCCAGGCGCATGAGGAGGAGGTGGCGGGAGGAGCTTGGCGGGAGGGGCTGGCACGGCCAGTTCCTGGTCCCACGCGGCCGCCTACACCTCCCACAGCGCGCCCAGCGGCGGTGGAGATGCCTCCCGGCCTGGGAAGGACGCTCGAGTCCTGCCGA